CTGGAAATAAAGTTGGGTATAACCCTTTCACCCCAAGAACGTTTTACTGTCAATTTCTTTGGTCACACTGAATCCATACAAACTTACCCGTGGCTGAAACCCATTGTCAAGACAATTGGTGAAAGTCGGCTGGGTTCACTGTTGACCAAGGAAAAAGACAGGCTGCCCTTATGGGAGGGGTGCTTCAGCGGGCTGCCCCTGTGAATGGGAGACAGTGGATTGTCCCCCAATGGGTATGTGGTCTGAGATGGCTTGCCTCCTAGAGAACTGGGCCCCACCCCAAGACTGGAGGCAAGTGGAGGTGACACCTGAGGCTGTAGCGGTGGCCCTTGGTATATAGTAAGCAGATCCTTTGAGAACCAGAGTGCCCGTTAGGCAGCGGGGACTGTGAGTTGGCTGCTTCTCACTAAAAGTCTACAGAGGAGACCCAAGTACTAAAAAAAGTCTACAGAGGAGACCCAAGAAATGGCAGCACGAGAATGCGAGCTGCAGACTTCTGTGGATGCCCTGAGGAGGGAAATGATATTGATGCGGGAGGAGGCAGCATGAGAACGTGAGCTGCAAACCTCTGTGGATGCCCTGAGGAAGGAGATGGCCTTGATGCGGGAGGAGGCAGTGCGAGAGCGCGGGCAGCAAGGTGCCCTTGGAGACAAGACAGCAGCGCTGCCAGGTGTTCTGAAGGAGGAAGAGGCCATCAAGGAAAAGGACTGAACTCCTGAGGGAAGCACAGGCGCAGGTGGCATGAGAACGTCAGCTGTGAAGCATTGAGCTGAAGGTAAGAAACCTTCTGAAGACTGAGCTGGCATTGCTGCGAGGCACAGTAGAAAAGGTAAAGGTTGTCGCAGAGGATGCACTCGGGGGAGGGGAGAGAAAGGTGCCATCAGCCCCAGAAATGGAGGAGCTGGGGAAGGATGAAGGGGTGGGGCCGGAGGCACCATCACGCCCAGTGGTTGTAAAGAAAATAAAGACCCAGAAGCTGCAAGTTCCCCAAAGAGAGGAGCAGCTCCCTCCCCAGGTCCTGGAGCACTCTATGGTCCGCCCCTATACTCAGGCTGAGACGGTGGCTGTGGGACTTAGGGGTGGATGGAATTGTTCTGTCGGGATCAGAAATGGGAAAGCTGTCTTCCCTGACAGTGCAGCCCATCTTGAGGCAGCGATTACAAAATGCGAGGTGACATGTACAGTAGCTGAAGCAACGAGAACCCAGAAAGAAATAAGACCTGTTACTCACAGGAGGAATTGGAGGGGCCTCATGAGGGTTACAAGGACCCAGATGTGGGTTGATTTGATATGAGCAGGAGTAGATGGAAGGAAATTAGACGGGAAGCTAAATAGGATCTTACTAGAGCTGTGGCAACAACTGAAACCAGAGCAGCAGTTCCAGTCGCTAAGACCAAAGAGGCAGAGGCCAGAGACAGAGTCACAAGTCTGGCCTCTGTGTCTGCAAGACTTTTTGCTGAAGAGGCTGGAGAAACAATGTTTGAACTTCTTGCACAGGGATCATCGTAGATGACTAAGGGCACATAGATTGAGAGGAGAGAATCCTGGAGGGGTGGAGTGTGAATAAAATGAGAGTTCCTGTGGCCAGGATTCTCACCTGGCCCTGGTTGACTAGCTCACTGCACACCTGTGGGCAATACATGGCTGTTGACTCTATATAAAAAGCTCCGCCCAGAACTCTGGGTACGACATAGTGGCAGGGCTGCAAGGCTGCAGGAGATCAGAGCAGAGGCTGGAGTGGTGGCAGCCCAGAGGACGACTGTGCGGGACAACTGTGCAGAGAGGCCTGGAGGACGGCTGTGCGGGACGACTGTGTGGAGAGGCCCAGAGGATGGCAGTGCAAGCAGACGGGCCCAGAGGCAGAGACCAGCTTGCTGCATGCAGACTCTTGCTGAGTGAATGGGATTTTAGTGACTGACCTGCTACCTGGAAATAAAGTTGGGTATAACCCTTTCACCCCAAGAATGTTTTGCTGTCGATTTTTTTGGTCCCATTGAATCCATAGTGAACTTGCCTGGGGCTGAAACCCATTGGCAAGACAGGGAGTGTATCTTATGGTTCACTCTGCTTTTTGATCTGGCAGTGTAACACTTGGCTTTACATAAGACCCTCCTGGGTTTTTATTTTATTTTTATTTTTAATAATTCCGATGCCCAGGAGGCACCAGGTTGGGGCCCAGGCAGCAGCAGGTTTTAAAGCTCCCCAAATAATCCCAATGTACAGCCAAAGTTGAGAATCACTGTGTCAAAGATTCCAGGCCCCTCTGGGTTACACACTCTTTGGTCAGAAATTTAAATTGTGTTTACTAGCAGGGTGAGGCCCACATTCATCTGAAAAATGGCGGGGGAGGGATCCATATTTCTGTCAGCCATTTTAGCTCTAACAGCTAAGCCAGGTTTTTTAAAGAGAGGAAGTGATTTCACCATAGCTGCACACAGGGGTCAGGGAGGCAGCATGTTTCCAAGGGTCCCAAGTGAACTGGTAAAAAGGCAAAAAACAGTAAAACAAAACGCTACTGGCTTTGATGGCAGATGTAGCTGCTAAGGTTTGCTAGCTCCTCCCACATCCCCCACTTCTCTTCCCAAGAAAGGCTTGAGACAGCAGCACAATAGGTGGCTTCTGGGTTCAGCACATGGAGGTTTCCAGTTAGCACCCCACTTCCATGCCACTGCCGCCACCTTCTCCTTTTTATCACAGAGCTCTTTCCTGTTTTCCACTTCCTTCTCAGTAGGTAGTTGCTGTTGCTAATTGTACAGGATACACAGTAGCTCTTCCCCAAGTTTATTAAAAACTCTGCTTCAGAATCTATCTTGACCTGGCTGATAGGCAGGTGGGCCCATGGGAACGTGAGTTTTGGAGTAATACCTATCCTAAGTAGCATTTTGCTATGAGGGTCAGCTACAGTTTTTCTTCACTCTAAGCATTGATTTCATCTTACTGTCACTGCCCTGTAGCCCCACCCCGCCCCCCAGCGTACCCAGAGTGGAAGCAAGCCTGTTCCCCTTCTTGCAGCGCGGGAGAATGCTGTCCGCAGGAAACGCAGGGCAGTGCAGAGAGGGGCCCTTAGGGAGCACACATACCATCAGCCTGTGTCAGGGGCTGGGAAGCTGGAAGCCAGGCGCTGCCTGGATTGGATGCTGTCAGGAAGCAGGGGTCATTTCATGGTCGGGTGTCTGAATAAATCTTATCTAGAAGCTGGGAAGGCTAGACAAAGGCTGTGACTGGTGAAGAAGCAGCAGTCCCTCCGAAGAGCCGGGACTGGGGGTGTTTGGACAAGGTTCATTTGCTCTTGGTGTTCAGATGTGGCTACAGAGCAGTCTGTCCCATCCCAGTGACAGGGTGGCCTTGTCTGATGCTGGTGTTCTGGGCAATTGTTCACCTGGGTTTTATAATTTAGGCCCCCTCTGGCTTGACCTCATCTGCTCTTGGCCAAAAGGGAGGCCTGCAATGGAGCAGCCCCTGCCGTCCAGGAGTTAATGGCAAAGCATCTCAAGGACTTTTCATCAGTCTATTTTGCACCTGGCAGGAGTAAGCTGAGGCACTGGTGCTGGCCACTGCTGAGCAGGACTGGCCCAGTGCAAAATGAAAATATGGGGCCCCTTGTTAAAAAATTATTAAAAATTTCAATACAGCAAGAGCAGAGATTTCTACCAACTGCAGGGTCATTTGAGTGTGAGGTTCTGTGCAACTGCAAGGGCTACATGCACAACCACCCCTGCCCTCTGGCCACTGAATGGCAAGAAGCACACTGAGACTGTGGCACCCTACTGTCCCTGCAACCTGGCAGAGGGAGAAGAGGAGGACAACTGCTATCCCAGTGTCCCGGCCCCATAGGAATGGCAAGAACTGGAGAATATTCCAGGAAGAAAACACGAGCTACAGTCTGAAGCATAGACACTAAAGGCTAAGATAGCAGCAGAGCTAGTGAAACTGAGAACCTGGGATCCACGGAAGTAAGGAAAACACGCAGAGCAACACACACGGAGCCATGAGTGGGAAAAAAACTAATGCATGTGCTAAAAGGGGATCTGATTCTTAAGAGGATGGTCTGTCAAGAACACTTGCGAAGACATTGCCCAGTTCTTGTAGAAAGATGAAGGACTCAGCAAAACAGCAACTACGGACTGCTTGCAGGAAGAGATGAGTTTAATGTCTAGGTTCTTCCTGCTTTTGCGAGGGTACATGAGTTCACGGATCTAAAGTCTGTCCAGACATTACAGCAATTCCTGTGGCGTCCAGACGACTGATGGGATGATGGAGGCATTTGCCCAGTGATACTGTCATCAAGGAGGGTTTTTCCGCATGAACGCTGTTCTCTCCCTTGCCATACATCTCGCTGAACACCAGCCATAGTCCCAAAGTCAAAGATAAGCCCACAAAAAACGCTCACTGCTGCAAAGACAAGTATCAGTGATAAAGGAGCAACTCTAGAATCTGTAAAATTTGCTAAATCAACATTAACGTTATCCTGTGACACGCTTGTCCCCCATTCCCATTTGCGGAAAAAGTAGGTAACTTAAATACTCGAGAGCTTTCTCTTCGGTCCTAAAATGCAAAGCTGACCCTTGTTAATAATGTAATAATAATTCTAATGGGTTTAACTGTAGCATTTGAAGAGTTAAGAAAAAGGCAGCGGTAATTTTAGACCACAGGGTGGATCCTAGCATTTCATTTTCTTGACTTGGCCAGGAAATAAGAGGGGCCTTGGCTTGGGGGATGGTCGGGGGGGGAAGCATAAGGGGTGGGCCCCCCGGAAGTCATGCGGCACTGTTTAAACCTAAGGGGACTTAACGGACGGCGGGAGCGCCCGCCCGATCCTTGGCGCGGGGCGCGGCCATTGGTGACGCACGCCGGGGAGCACGGCGCCCGCGTTTCCACCATTGCTTGAGCGAGGCCCCACACCCTGCTTTCCAAGTTCGGGGCTGCAGGCGCGCTCGCTCCCTCCCTCCCGGAGGCGGGCCCGGCGCCGCCCCCGCGCCCCGGTCGCTCCCGACGGCCCCTCCCACCTCCTGCCCCCAGCCGCCCCGGCGCGGCGCAGTCCCCGCCGGCCGCAGCCCGACGCGCCGTGCGGCCCCCAGTCTCCCGCAGCCGCCTCCCCCAGGCATGGCACAGGGCCTCGCCTCACTATGGCAGCAGCACGGCACAGCACGCTCGACTTCATGCTCGGCGCCAGAGGTGAGGGCGCGCGGCCGCCACCTGCCCGACGGGGACCAGGCGGGGCGCGCGCCGCGGGCTGAACAATGCGGGCGGCGCGCGCGGCCTCGGCGCCTTCTGGGCGGCCGCGCCCAGCGCCCTGCGGGGCCGCGTGCACCGGCGGCCCCGAGGAGGCCGCGCTCCGTTCGCGCCGCCACACCGCGCCTGCAGCGGCCGCGCCCGCACTCCCGACCGAGCCGCCCTCCCGGGCCTCCGGCGCCACCCCGCGCCGCACGCGTGCTTGGCCGCCCTCGCCGGGGCCCCCTTGGCGCCTGTGCCTCCTGCGGCCGCGGACCCGCCGTGGGGCCCAGATGCAGGGGCGGCTGCGCGAGGCGGCCCGGGCGGGGGGCCTGTGGGGTCCGCCCGCGGCACCCTCTCCTGCTCTGGGAGGCCGTAGGTCCCCCCGGGCCCGGCGCCCCTCGCGGCAGCTCGGGCGGGGAAATACCCGCGCCGCGCACGCACAATCCTTACCAGACTGCGTAGGAGACGGAGCCCGCGGAAAGCGACGGGGCGCGGGAAAAGGAAACGAGGATTATCTTGGGGCGCGGGGTGGGGGGTTGGGGTCTGGGCGAGGGAATTACAACTCCCGGAATCGGGGAGGCCTCGGAAGGCTGAGAGCCGAGCAGAACAGAGGAGGGCTGGGAAATATGACGGGGAATGAGAACCCCTTCTCCGGCTTCTTCCAACTCGGGGGTTGGAAAGGGGCAGAGGGGGTACTGCCGGTCTTTCTCTCTGATGGCTTTTAAAGCCGTGAGTGTTGTAGACTTGAATGTTCGCTTCCCGTACACCCCACTTTGGAGCGTCTCATCCGTATCTTGCTTTTTCACTGTTTTCTTCGAGTTGGATGGAGCAACCTTTTCTGTTACCATTTACAACACTGACAGACTTTATTTCTCTTCCCTTTTTTGAACTTTGAGTTTTCCCCCAAATTTAAAGGCTCTCTGAAGGCACAAGATTTAATAAGACCTTGAAGATTTAAAGCAAGATGTAGGTTTGCATCCTGTTGTCTCTTGAGTGACGCTGCATGTGACTTTGGCTTTTCTTAACTGAGTCTCATTTTCCCTGTGATAAAAGGGGGAGGACAATGCGAATCGTGATCATAGGGTTATTTTAATATTAGGGGAGTTACTGGTTAAGTAATAGCCAGTGTATTTGGGTGGTCAGGAAGTAACTTGGGTAAACAAAGCATTTTTTAGCACGTTTCTTAGGTGAGGATAGAGGGAAGGTAGACTGCTGGAGAGACGCAAGGGATAAAATGGTATCTGGGGCGTCTGCTGGTGAGGTGTGATAGTTTTAGGCTTTGTTGAGCAATTACCCTGTTAATTTTAGGGCTTAGTGGTTAGTGAAGGTTCTAGCATACTTAGTTTAGAAGTGAGAAGGGTGAGGCTTGAGGAGGAAATACTGGTTCAGATCACGCAGCTGCTGAGATGAGTGTAGGAAGTGTCCCTGGTAGTAAGCACGTGTGAACACTCACCTGTACTTACTGAATATGGGTTTTCTGGGCTTTAGGGAGGGTAATTTCATAATGAAACCCGAAGATCTTGGCATTTCCCGTAGTCCAGGTGTCCTTGCCTAAAGCCTTAAACAGCTTTCAGCTAAATTCACGTGTTGCCTTGTTGAAATGGTGGCTCGCAGTGAGCTTTTGTGTTCTGATGTAAAGCGGGGAGCGGGGGGTGGGGTGGGGGAACCTTCACTTTATGAAGAAAAAAACGAGAGAACTAACATTTTGAGCTGACACTCTCTACAGAGGGAATGAGAACCATGGATGTGCAGTTTGGGAGAGAGGAGAAACTGGTAGGTTCCAAGTTGGCAACCTGTGGAAGTGGCATCTAAATAATTTAGTTGTGCAAAGAGAAAGTAATGCAAAAAAGGTTGAGAATTCCCAGCCAGTTATTCTTAATTCCCAGTTTGTTAATCTTAAAAGAGAAACCTTTGATGGCAAGGTGAAGAACATTCTAGAAAGAAATAATACTAAGGGTGGGGTGTGTGGGTGCATCTGTTAGATCTTGGATCCCTACAAAAAAAAGTTTTGTAAGTAAGAGAACTCTGATACTTAACCGTATTCCTCCCATCACTTGAGCTGCAGGGAGGCATGTTACCTTTGCTGTTACTAAGTATTCATTAGGAGGCATGTTACCTTTGCTGTTACTAAGTATTCATTATGTTACTTGTAAAATAAGGGGATCTGGCTGGTCGAGGATCTTCTAAGTTCTTTTTGGTGTCAGTAAGGGGCACTTGATGAAAAATCTACCACCTGTGAGGTCTCCAAAAACATTTAATTGATGATAATGAGTCAAAAGGCATTATAATCTTGGCATGTTGAGTATTGGGTGTGACTCAAGGGTGAGTCAGATGCCTGTGGAGCCTGGATTCATGTCCTTTTTCCCATTTGTCAGTAATCCTACCTTATGCTCCAGTTCCATGATGTGATTTTAATGGAAATAAACTTCAACCACTTAGTTACGTTATTATGTTGCAATTCCGTATAACTTAGTTACCAGTGCAAGCCAGCTAGTACCAGCAGCCGCTGGGCAGGTGTAAGGGCCAGTTATCGTTTGGGCCTGGCATTGAGTGCCTCTTCAGTGTTCTGGATGATAAGATAATTCAGGAAATTTTAATTTTTGCTTTAAAAAACCCCTCACGTTTGGTTATATTGAAAGCGAAGTATTGGACTCTGAGGACTCTTGAGTCCAGAATACATATTGTGATTTCTCAGCCTGGGGCTAATGAGAATGAACACGTTCCACGTTTGTATAGTTTAAGCGTCCTCTGGGCTGGTGGAGGGCAGTAGATTGTTCTAGTTCGTATATACTAGGCAGCGAATGTGCTAGGAATACAGAGGTGAGTGATGTGCATGGCCTCTGTCTGCCTGTTGGAGCAGCCTGGTCCATCAGAGATGGTTGACAGAAGTGCTGGTTAAAGGAAAGCTGTTGCTCTCACTCCTCTAGGGGAAAACAAGGCACACACATTCATTTTAGAATTGAAAGGATGGGTCCTGAATGGGGAGACCTGGCTGAAGTCTGACTTTCAGACCTCTCATCTATTATGTAGGGAAACAAAGTAACTTCTGTCACCCAAAATCACACATTAGTTTTATAACAAAAATCTTGTTCACTAAATTAAAACCAGAAGGCTGTTTGGGAATTGTGGGTTTAGCTGAAAAGGTTTAGGGTAGAGGTTCTTAATATTTTTTGTTCTTTTGACCCTCACTGGGGATACTTTCACAGAATAAGAATTTTAAGTACGTAAAATAACCCAATTATTTAAAATAACAGGTTTCAAAAATAAACCTCCCAAATGTGTGGCATAGTAATATGTGCTTCTTAGTTAACACAACACAACCTAACAGTGGGTCTAATAATTTCCATAATTTTGAAGTAGAGCTGAGAAAATCACCATTTCAACTATGATCTGATAAGAAAAAGCTCTGATTTCCTTTTCAAATAGTGGAAATAAGGATGTATATTTCTCCTCATACAAGTCCACAGACTCTTTCAATTGTATCTACTTGGCCCCTTGGGGGCCTTTGGAACCCTGTTGAGAGCTGTTAGGAGCTGGAGAGGAAACTGGGACTGCCATTTCTGTATGTTCTTTTAGGAATAGGTTGCTGTTCAAGGCCAGAGCTGGTTTCTCTTCAAAACATCTCTTGGGAAAACATAAAAGCTGATGTTTATTATTTGCCTCCCAGGCAAGGCATTGCCCTAAGCACATGACATGCTATTTTATATAATCCTTACAACGACCCTATAGTAGGTCCTGTTTATCTTCATTTTAAAGATGAATAAATTGGCCCATTGAAGTTTTCCACCTAATAAATATGGGGTAGCTGGGATTCAAAGCCATGTCTATTTGACTCCAAGGCCTTATTAATTCCACAAGCACGAAGCCTCTCAGTTTAAGGCAGTGATTCTCAAAGGCCCTGGTTGTGGCCATTCCCCCCTCTGACATTTGGCAATATCAGGACACAGTTTTGGTTGTCACAACTGGGAGGTCCTGTGAGCATCTGGTAGGCCAGGAATGTTGTGAAAAACATCCTCCATTGCACAGGACAGCTCCCACAGCATTTCAGTAGGGCTGGGGTGCTGAGTTCCCAGCATAAATTCTGACTAGTTTGTTGCGGAAATCTGGATGACAAGTCATCACCAAAAATTACCTCATTGTTTTTTGGAAGTCTCCACTATGCCCAAATCTATAGTCTCTGAGGAAGGATGGGCCTTAGCCGTGGGCTTGGCCAGCACCACCTATTCAGCCAGCCTGTGGCTTCAGGTGACCCTCCGTCCCTATTTTCTTAAACCTTTAGCCCACCCACGAAGCTCCCACTCTCCCGTTTATTTGTTGAGCTGCTTTCTGGTGGAAGTATATCAGCTTGTTGTGTTTGAAATAGTAGCTATAACTCTAAGCATAAAATGTGAACAATCCAGTTTTGATTGCATCTAGTGTTTGTGCTGTGGAAACGAGTGGAAGAGTGTTCTCACTGTCACAGCATTATCGTTATCCATTGGCCTGTCACACTTCATCCACCATTGTGATAAACAGCAACACCCACACCACACACCTGCTTTAACGGTGAAGCCTTGGGGGGCCGGTGACTGGAAACTGCATGCTTGGGCCCCAGCTTTAGATAGACTGAATCACAATCTCTGATAGAGGGGTGGGGGGAATTCCTGGAATTTGTTATTTTTATTTTTTTTTAACTGGCTTCCTCCCAGTAATTCTGATGCTGATTTAGTGTGAGAACCACTATAATAGGATTCTCATTAAAAACAAAACAGTCTTGTATCAGAAACTTGTGGGGTTATCCCCCACCCCAGTCACTAATCTGCAAGTCTTTAAGTCCTGTGGATTCTACCTGCTACAGTCTCAAATTCCTCGCTCATCTTTTTTCCTGGCTACAGTTCTTGGCCACAGTCTCCCTATTTGTCTCCACTTTTGGGAAGGGCTCAGTCATCCGGAATTCAACAAATCCCTGTCCCTTTGCCCCT